ACGCAGCTGTTTGCACAGCTGTGGGCTCGGCCAGCTTGGCCAGCCCGTCCTCCCCGCCAGCAGGCACCAGCACCTCGCCGGCACCCTCGTCTGTGCCAAGCTCCGCCGGCAAACGGTTTTCCGAGACACGCGCTGGTTTAGCGGTCACAGTGAGTAAGTCTTGCCTGGGAGGTTAAACCCACCCTGGCTTAGAGGGGCCGCTTGCCTGCCTGATGCTGAGCGCTGCAGTAACGGGGTGTCCCACCAAAGCCTGCCCGGCAGCGGCTCCTGCCCGCGCTGTGCAACCCCAGCAGAGCCAGGGAAGGGCTTAATCAGTCTTAACTAGTCATGTGAATGCAACGCACATCCGCTGGTGCCGGGGGTCCCAGGACTCTAACATTCCCCTGCCTCCCCAGGGGTGCGACATTGTCAACACCAGGCTCAACGTGGTGAGCACTCTGCTCGGCTCCAGGACCTGTAAGTGCTGGCACCCTCCTTTTCCTCTGCTCCTGTGTGACCCCCTGCACTTAGGGTTGGTTGGTTTTTTTTACATTGGGTAAATAGAAATATTTTAACAACTTCCTAACAACTTTAACAACTAAACTTCCTTTAACAACTCTCAGCTCAAGCACAACATTCAACATCCCTTGCCCCAGAGCAGCAGCAGACAATTTTTTCCTGCAGAAAGCCACTTCAAGAACTGTTGCTTTTAGAAACAACATTTTTGCTGCGAAATAGTGCTTTCTAGTGACTTGTCCATCTGGGAATGCTGTGAGCAGGAGCCGCCGTTGGTTCTGATATCTCCTGGGACATGGGATTTGGGAGCTCCCCCCTCTCACTGCAGCTTAAAAGCTTTCCTCCCTGTGTCCCACAGCCGCGCTCCCGCTCGGGGCTCTGGGAGACCTGCCCCCCTTTTCCATCATCAGTGGTGACGCTATCCAGCTGGATCTAAATGTAAGTGCCACCGCTTCCCCTGACCCAAAAGCCTTTGACTTAGTGAGTTTGGGTAATTCATCTGAATGTGGTGGCTATTTGTCAAAGGCCCCTCTTATTCCAGCTGTCTGCAGGAAAGCATTCACTGGAAGACACTGAGTGTGGTTCGGCCACGTCTGTGCTAGTGCCACCACTGGGTCTCTACCTTATTTTTTTACTTGCTAATCCTTGAGGGTAGCATGAGCCAGATTGGTTTGACACTGCTTAATTAAGCATAATTATAGCACTCTCATAGTTGTTAATCAAGAAAGCTTAATTTCATACAGGATCAGTGGTCAGTGTTCACAAGCAGGTTCCATTTATAAGTGGCTTGTAAAAGTTTGGTATGTAATTAATAGGGACCATGATCAGGTCAAAAATATTGGCAAAGTGTCTTTCTGATCGGGAGACGTGATGGTATTTTAAAGGGAAAGCTGTAGCAGATGCAGCCTTCGCCTGTGCTAGGACAGTCTCAAGCGGCCGTACGTTTATTAAAGCGTCAATTAACCCTGCGTGAGCCTCTCCGTGAGGTCCGTGGGTGGGCAGGGTGCCCAGTGCAACCTCAGCCCTCCGAGTCCCGCCAGTGTCCCTCCCCT